TAACAATTCTATGATTCTATGATTCTATTGCTGCTGGATCTTTCCGGAGCTTGTATACTCTGATTTTTCTATTTAACTGGGTGACAGTGTTTTTCCTTGCTGTAATTATCAGCCTGCCAGATCCGAGTGCTCCCAGTCTGCCAGGCAGCTCGGCAGCAGGGGTATCTTGCCGATGACTTAAAGCGGGGCCATGACTTTTCCTTCCTTCTGTGATTGTATCAGGTGGGCTAGTTGCAGTTGGGATTTGGTTAAGACTTCAAAGTGGTGTTATTTTAAAAACAATATTCGATCTTTGGGAGGTGTTTGTGGTTTTTTTCTGTTATACAACCTGACACCTTCTGTCTTCTCAGTGGGAGTGGTATTATCAGCCCTCGATAACAATAGCGTTACACTGGGCTACAGCTTGTCAACAGAGAGCGTGAACTTTCCACCACACGGCCACTCACACATGGGAGCTGGGAAATGGCCTCTTCACCTCGCGTCGTCTCAAGGTGGTTTGGGCTCAGCAATGCTTCCACCTGCACTTACAGAGTGGTGTTGCTCTGTTAATAGCATCTTTTATGTCTGCAGGGGTGTTTTGCTCTCACTTGACTTGAAAGCTCTTGTTGAGCTTTCTGGTGCCTTCTTCATTCTTTACAAAACTCAGTTTCGTGTTGGCATAAGCTGACTTAGAGGTAGCACTCCTTCTTTTAAACAGTGAGATGGGACCTTTTTTAAGTTACATACGTCCTGAGCTTACGCATGAAAAACCATGTCATTAACATTACTCGTTTATCTCCACACCTTAGGTTTCGGGATGACGACACCAGCAACCGTGGCTGGAAAAGTATTCCTCATCGTTTATGGCCTTTTTGGGTGCGCTGGGACTATACTTTTCTTCAACCTCTTCTTGGAGCGCATTATCTCTCTCCTGGCGTTTATCATGAAGGCGTGCCATGAGAGACAGCTGCGAAGAAGTGGTCTCCTACCTCCCAACTTCCGAAGGGGGCCATCTATGTCGGGGGTGGGCAGCCTTGTGGGGTGGAAGCCGTCCGTTTACCACGTGATGCTGATTCTGGGAATTTTTGCTATTACCCTTTCCTGCTGCGCCTCTGCAATGTACACAGCAGTGGAAGGATGGAACTATGTTGACTCCTTGTACTATTGCTTTGTCACCTTCAGCACCATTGGCTTTGGAGATTTGGTAAGCAGCCAAAACGCTGCATACCAAAATCAGGGATTATACAGATTTGGAAACTTCATATTTATATTAATGGGGGTATGTTGCATATACTCTCTTTTTAATGTCATCTCAATCGTAATCAAGCAAGTTTTGAACTGGGTGTTGAAAAAATTCGAATGCAGATGTTGCCCAAAGTGCCATAAATCAAGTGCCCACCTCAGACGTCGCAACGCCATCACCCCAGGAGCCCGCCTACGTCGACATAACATCTCAGTGGACGCTGATGGACAGTATGACAGCGACACCGAGGGAAGGAGACTCTCTGGAGAAATGATCTCCATGAGGGAGCTCACGGCATCGAATAAAGTCTCGCTGGCCATTTTGCAGAAGCAGTTATCTGAGACGGCCAACGGCTACCCGAGGAATGTTTGTATCAATACAAGACAAAACGGTTTCTCTGCAGGGGTGGGTGCTCTAGCCATCATGAACAACCGCTTGGCAGAAACGAGTGATTCTAGGTAGAGTTTTTGAAATTCCTTTTGTTTCTTTAATAAAAATAAAATGGTGATGAGGGTGGAATTATCACTGTAAACTACTGGAAAGTTTTAAATTCAGAGACAGCTTTGGTATTCATTGGGCTTTCAGCATTTTAGTTTCGGGGGTTTTATAAGTCTTCTCTAATATGCAGTAACATCTTTAACGTAATGTTACAGTTTTCCCCAAAGGGGTTTTTGGAAGAAACTTGGATGTCTTTGATGCAATTGTAGAAGAATGGCATGCATGGTTACGATGTGTCCAAACCAACGTGTTCTTCAGAACATGACCTGAACCCAAACTCTGGGTTAAAATGCATAAAATGGGCAAGTTCAGCTCCAGATTCAAACAGGGTTGATAAGGTTTGGCTAAACCAGTATCTCACAGTTTGTTGAAGTCCGGATCTGGCCCTGAACTTTGTACTTGATGCTCTTGAGCAATTCCTCATAGCAGGCCTGTATATAACATACACATAGGTGACTGCGGTTACACCAGCTTTAGGGTGATTTCTGCTTCACTTGAATAATCCTACTGACTTCAATGGTAGAGGATCGAATGGGCTGAATTCCCCTGACTACAGATGTTGATTTTAGCCAGTCTTGTCTGAAACACTACCTGCTACCTAACTCTTAAAAGTCAGGGGGTTATCAAGAACTGTGTTAAAATGTGTAAAACTATTCCTACCGAGTAGCTGAAAATGGGCAATTTTCAGCTTCGGTGCTGACTTCATTTAATGCAAGAGAAGCCTTTGGTGTCACATGTTTGCGTCACCACTGAAATGCTTATTTCATTACTTCTACATGAAAATAAGCAGGTAAAATGAATGTAGGCTCTCTCAGTTGTCCTAAATTTGCATCTTTTACTTCTGCAATATTGTTGCAGAGATTCATGCAAATGATTTCTTTGCAGTCCTTTAAAGGCCCCAACCCTGTACTTGTTTCACAAAAATCTGAATGTGTAGATTATACAGAAGAGCATTGCTTTGGAGCTCCCCCAGAAGCTGCTTCCCCCAAAATGTTAGTACTAAGTCATAAACTGGCCTTAGGTGGTTGCTACTGTCTTACATCATATTTAACCTGTGCTAGCCCAAACTGCTGAAGAACCAGAAGCATCTTCAAACAAACCTGGTCTAAGTGTCTAGTTTAGCATGACAAACAGGTGCATAGGAATTAACTGCAAATCTCTTTCAGAAATATGTGCAAAGCTCTGGATCATTTCTCTAAATTCTCTGCATTATGCCACTCCTTTGACGCTTTGAAGGTAATAAAAAGGCTTCTGCTGATTCCAGCAATAAATATAACTTAAGCTTGAAGTCTGAGAAGCCACAATGGTCAGCTTTTGAAAACAACTTGAATAATTATAGGCAAGATAATGAGTGCTAGGTTGATTGCTGAATAAATTGAGAAAGCTAATGAAAACAAACTAGGAATATTAGAAATGTTTGAATGTATTTCCATAAAGTTTCGTATATTTTACTCTGTTGTTTATTTACTTTGTTTTGTTTTGCATGGGTTTGGGGTATCCAGTGATTTGCTTTCTTTTAAATTTGTAGCAGTGCAAAACATTTTGAAATTTAACCTTAGAAAACTAACTTTTAATTTGAGGTTTTGCACACTTGAGTCTGCCAGCGGAAGTATGGCAGTGATTGTACCTTTTGCCTGAAGGAGAAGGTGCCAGAGCAGCAGATAAACCATCACGCATGGATCTGTATCATACTGTAATCATAGTCACAGCTTTTATCAAGATGCATTTGGCCAGAAACTCTCAATGATGTACGTCTTCTTTACCTACCAGATACAGACTCTTACTTAAGAGTAAGTGATATGGCAGAGACCACATTCAAGAGACATCCATCTGGCAGGAGCTTCCCTGGTGGCAGAGACCCCCTAAGGTCCATGTGTCCATGTGCCCGTCTGTCTGTGCACTCCATCTCAGATGCTACATTCGAGCGGCCCTTTGAAGAAGCAGGCAGAGGTCAAAGTGTCTGGTGATCCTATTTTGAAGCCCCCTTTCAGCAGGATGCGTAGGGGCAGGTCGTGGTCTGGGAAAGACTCAAAAGACTGATTGCAAAGACCCAGTTCAGGAAGGCGACTTCCAGAGCTGCAGGGACCATTTTTGGAAACAGCAGAAGCGTGGAACCAAAAGAATGAAGATTTGTTCTTTTCCCTCGGGATTACCCCCAGGGGTAAATCTCTTTAACTATGATGATTTGTGTGTTTGTTTATTAAGAGTAGGGGGGAGGTGGAGGGTGCTGCTCTCTTTTTGCAGCTAGACCCCTCTTAGGGTTGTACCTTGGTACGTTTGCCATCACAGGGGCTATTACTCATTAGAACAGACTCTGCTGTATGAAGGGCTGCATAAATCAAGGCAGATGGGCTCTATCCCGAAGGTCTTAAGAGTTTGAATAGTTAGGATCCCAAGCCACAGCAGAATTACTTAGGTTTATCATTTTACTCATAAAAACATGTTCAAATGCATTAACAGTCTGTGAGCTCAAGAACTATATTTTTATGATAACAAATTTGCAAATTAAGGGGTTTTATTTTTTCAGTAAGTTGTTTTTAAAGGATAAACATTATACCTATGATTAGGGACCTGTTTAAATGTTCGTAAATTGTTTTCAAACTACCTATTCCTGCCTGGGAAATACAGTGAAGTAACATGAAATTGTACATACCTCCTCTGCTAGTTTTCTGAGTCCAGTCAAAGGCAGACACGCAGTCTGTTGTAATGCAATTTAAATGTTTCTGAGTGGTCACAGTGGTTCCATTGCAGGACCCTTTGCAGTTCCTGTTGACTTCAGGGGGAGTTGGATTAGCTTCTAGAGTTGGCTTCCCCAAGGAATTTGGGTATCTGATTGTACTCTATGGGCTTGGGTCTAATGTTCCTTTATTCCCAAGATCCTTGATAAACTCCTTTCCGCTTCTCCTTAGCCTCAGAGGCATATGAAGAAAGTGCATACCCAGATTTCTACCAGTGCCCCTATTTCTTGCAGTGCACCTATCCCCAGAAGCTGGCACAACCCAACCACAGGGACCCCCAGCTCCTATCTAAGCCGTGTTAAAAATCCCCAAACCCATCTGGCTCAGCAAGGCCAGTTTATGAGAGGTTACTGAACTGAGTCTCACAGGGGGACATCTGACAAGAGGTGGCCTTAGAGTTCTCTCATACTCAGTAGCCAAAGTATTTTTCAAGGATGCATGAAAACCAAGCTCCAAATCCCTGCTCTTCTGCCTGCTTGCACTACCTGGGCACCCATCACCCCTGTGCATGAGTACATTTAGCCAGGAGGACATAGGAGATTTGGGATCATCTTTCCCAGACCCTCCTGCTCTTTCTTTAGCTTTTTTATGGCAACTTCACTTTAATCTTGCAAGACTTCTGGTCACCTGACTCCTCTCTTTTATTGTGCGTGGTCCAACTCAGGATTCGCCAGGGCAGTCTGCTTCGTTTTTGAATTAAACCCTAAATGTGCACCAGTTGCACCGAGTGCAATTCCTCCTGGTATTTCATTTTCACAGACAAAGCAGATGATACCTGCAGTACCTGGACACAGGCTGAAGCACAAGAAATCAGAAAGAAACTGAAGGAACAGAGTGGGACAGCGAAAGCACACTGCACTAGATTGCACTTTCTTTTCAGATAACTTGGGAGTTTCATTACGTTCTTGAAACAGGTTGTTTTCCAGGTTTTGGTTTCAAACAGGCTTGAAAGAATGCAATTAACTTAGGACTTTAAAATTCATCTTCCCTGATACAACCCCCTCTGCACTGCCCTGCAAAATAGCAGCAGTGACTCCTAGCTGGCACAGACCCAGACATCCCAGTTGCCTGCTGAGGCAGCACAGACCCTGTGCCTCAAATAGGTCTTTTGCTTTCTGAGCCTGAGAAGAGCATTCAGGAGCAGCAGAAAGCTACAGAATTAGGACTTCTCTGTGAGCCGGCCCCTAGTAAGAGCAATGACTGCACAGGCATGAGCTGCTCTGACCTCCAGCACAAAGGGAGGAGATACCGTGATCACCTGGCCTGTGTGCTACTACCGTGCAGTTGAGAATTAAAATTTAAATGAAAATTAATAAGGAACCGTGACCAAATTCCAGTGACATCTTCTCTTTCCCCTGGAGCTCCGGGCGGACCCGTTACAAGGAACAGTTTCTTGTGAAACCTGTGGTGTTTGGCAAGTCACTACATTTACTTCTTGAGGTTTATCTTCCCTGTATGTGTCTTCGACCAAGTTTGGAGTAACACTGAGATGTCATCCAATTCTCTTAGGCTTCTTCCCATCTGCAAACAGACTTCTCATTTTGTACAAAAAAAATCGAATTGCTTTTTATTCCTTCCAATGTGAAGACTATCCTTCAGATGATACAGATGTTCAGAGAAGTAATCTCATTGACCTTGGTCACAGATGGAAGTTTCTGAAGGACAAGGCAGTAGTTTGCCGATCTCCCTGCAGAAGAAGCGTTGCACAAGTAACTCCCGTTGCCACTAGCAAGACATACAAAGGTACGTCCGGCAGTGGTTGGTGCCATGCAGCAGTAGGCACAACTAAAAATGGAAAGAAGAAGGTCTGTTATCAAAGGTATTTGTACCTCTTTGACATGTACATGCTAATTGATAACCCAATTTCCAGCTCTAATTGCAGCAAAAGTTACTGGTGGAAGACAGGAGAGGTTTAAGAATCACACTAAAGCTCTCGGTGACCATCCCATGCCATGCTGGGGTTACCCAGAGAGGTACTGGAATGCTGTCTGTCCCAGTAGTGCTGGTGTCCAGCACGATTTCAGCCCCAGCCCTTAGTCTCTTTTCTTCCCCAGCTTTTTGAGGGTGAAAATTTGGGTATACTATGACCATTTACCTGTATTTCAATCATGTCTTGACTTGCTACCGAAAGGAGGACTTCAGCAGCAGCAGAGGCCATATAGCCAGGTGTGCAGGCTCAGTATACACCTGATTGCCTATGTGAGATGAATTTGTAATTATGTGGAA